CATATGCTCCAGCAATTCCACTTATGGCTATATACCCAAAAGAATTGACTGCAAGGTCTCAAAGAGATAGTTATACAGCCATGTTCATAGCAGCATTATTCACAATAGCTAAAACATGGAAGCAACCCAAGGGTCTTATTAGCTGATGAATGGATAAGCAAAATGCAGTATATACATACAATGCACTATTTCATTCAGGCTTAAAAAAGAAGGATATTCTGTAGTATGCTACAAAGTTGATGAACCTTTCGGATATGATGCTAAGTGAAATAAGCCAGTCACAAAAAGACAAAAGTACCGAATGGTTCCGCTTATATGAGGTACTTAAGAGTAGTCAAAATCATAAGGACAGAAAGTATAATAGTGGTTGTCAGGGGCTGGGGGAAGGGAAGAATGGGGAGATGTTTTTTAATAGGTATAGAGTTTCAGTTTTACAAAATGAAGAGTTATGGGGATGAGTAATGGTAATGGTTGCACAACAGTGTGAATGTGTTTAATACCACTGATGTGTGCGCTTAAAAATGGTTAAGATGGTAAAATTTATATTACATATATTTTACCGCAATAAAAAAATCATTTTAAAATTTAAAAAATCAGAAATAAAATTTTTAAACATAGTTTCGGGTCCCACCTCCAGAGTTTCTGATTCTGTAGGTCTAGAGTGGGGCCTGAGAATTGACATTTCTAGGAAGTTCTCAGATGATGTTGTGCATCACACTGAGCACTGCTTTCTGAGAAATTGGAGGATTGAAAATAACTAAGCGGGGAAATGAGTTGAAAAGAAATTCTTAGCGTTTGGTCAGAAATTACAGCCTCTTCTAGGATGTGGACTTTGAAAGGTTTTGGGCTTTGTTCTTTGAAATGGAAATAGCCAATTATTCTCATCACCTTTTAAGGGTATTCTAATTGCCATCCCATAAATTATAATATGGAAATATGTAATAACTTAAAGAAGAATTGTTGTATTGATCCTGAAATGAAAATATTATGGCATTATCAATAAAAATTTTTAATTTCAAAATGTTTGGTTTTAATTTTGGCTGTTTTTATCTAAGAAATGAGCTGATACAATAGCGGAATCAAGAACATATTTTGCCCAAAGTGAGAAAAGAAAAACTTGCAAGATTCAAAGTACTTGTAGTGGAAATTAGGTTTAAGTCTTTTTTGCTCAAGTTCCTGTCAATAGGAAACAAAGCAGTTGGCAAAAAATACTGTGTGCACTTATAAACGCTGTTTAGAGTTTATAATTATATGATTGTTCTGGGCCTTCTCTTATATCCACTTTCTCACACTCTGTATCAAAATTGTTTGGACTGCACATGATGGGAAATCTGTCTCAAACTGTTTAAGCTAAAAAAAAAAAAAATCTGGGTTTATATAAGGGTAAGAGTATATTTAGTTTTAATTAAGCACAGCTTGATCCATCTCTCAAAGCCATCGGTTTCCATCTTTCAGCTTCCTCTGGGTTCTTTAGGCTCCACGTGGTGGCTCTCCTGGAAGCAATAGCCTCACACCCTCGTTTAGCCTCACACTTGCCTGCTTTCGAGTCCAGTCCAACTTTCCAGCAGAAATTCTGAGGTTCACTCTGATAAAACCAGCTTTATGGGCCCAACCTTCCAATCACTGTAATCTGGGGGATGGGATACTCCTTAAACCAATCTAAGGATTACTCTTCCTGGAGTTGGGAATGGGGGGAGGACTAACTCCCTAAATCACATACATGGCTGATGTTGGAGGGACATGTCGTTTTTCATAGAAAGTTTGTTCCTGAAAGAGTAGAAATTGTGCTGTCCATTAAAGCACACATCTCTACTCTCCCCTCTAGTCTAAGATCTGGAGAAACTATAAACACATCATTTTCAAACACCTCTTTGCTCCTTCTTTTAAAAGGAACTGGGGAATTGGGGAATAAATAGCTGACATAGATTGCATTAAGGAAGGAGGAGGTATGAAAAAGCAAAGAGGGAAAGCATGATTATAAGATCTTAGGTAATGTCCTTGGCCGGTCTATCAGAAGTTTTTTTTAAAGTGAAGAAAGAATTTATATATATATTCTCTCCCTTCCTTTTTTCCAGCCCTGAAGACTAATTATTCTGTATTACAGGCTATTTGCCTGAAAACATTTATGTGACCATTTTTATATGCTTTAAGTTAATTTCCCATGTGCATGGCCCTATTTCACAGACTAATGCTCTTTCCATATTAAGTAGATTAAACTCTACCAAGTAAGAGAGTAAGTCAGTTCATAAGTTCTTTAGAACTTAACATTTTCTGTACTGTTATTTATATTAAAAAATAGTCACCAGAAGCAATTATTTCTAACTTAAGCAAGCCCAGTAATTGTCTCCTTCATACAGTTTACTTTCTCCAATCTCTTTGCTCAGAGCTGGCATCCCAAGCCAACTCCTAACCAACATACCACTCGGCTGGCCCTTGAATTTTTTTCTTAATATAAACATTCCAGACTTGAGACTTCTAGATTTCAAGTATAATAAATATAATTTAATTCCCCCCCCCCAAAGGAAAACCAGTCATACCTGTAGTAGAAACATGTAGGCCCAAATTTATTATATCGCTATCCTAAAACAATTTATCCTGATGCCATTTCTTTTTCCCTTTGGGCCCTTTTTATTTTAATGTAATAATCTTTCTTTATAGTTATACTTTACCAGAAAGAGAAATGGGTGGTTTTTTCCCCTCAGTTGAAAATTAAATGAGACCATATGTGAAATTACTTGTTTTAGTTCAAGAGGTTAAAAGGTTAGTGTTGAAATGGGGAAAACTGAATTTTACATATTTCTTTGCTTACCACGCCTCAGAGAATTATTAGGTATTATAAAACAAATCAGCTTGATGGTTGCCTTCTTGCATTCTTCGTTCATTAGAGAAGATGAAGAATTACTACAAAGATGGAGGAAATTACACAAAAACAAAATTAAGAAAACACAAGATTCTGCAGACACATGGAAAAACAGAAAAAGATGAAACTGCTGTACTGGAAATGTATTGGTGGTTTTGTTTCCTCAGCCTTTTCATGTACAATAGAGGTTCTATACTATACCATAGTAGGCTCATCCCTTTAAGTGAGAGCCACAGTAGAGAAGAGGCTGGAGTCTTAAAGCAATGTCATTATTTTCTCTTTTAATTTACAGAAGTTGCTGGGTGTGTTTTGCCACTGATGAAGATGATAGAACAGCCGAATGGGTGAGACCATGCAGGTGCAGAGGATCTACAAAATGGGTTCACCAGGCTTGTCTACAGCGCTGGGTGGATGAAAAGCAAAGAGGAAACAGTACAGCCAGAGTGGCATGTCCCCAGTGCAATGCTGAATACTTAATAGTTTTTCCAAAGTTGGGTAAGAAGATCCTTAAAAGCAACACAAATACATGTGATATCATTATACATAACTCTGTGATCTTGAGTTTATTTTAAAGTGACCCATATCTTTGCTTTTTTATGAATTTCTCTATTTCCTTTCTGTTACTTCCTCTCTAACTATTTTGCTAACAGTTTACATTATCCTTAATATATCCCCAGATCCATTCATTTGTGCATTAAATGTCTTCATTTGGTTGAGTGGATAAAGAACTTGGACCTCTAACCATGTGAATAAAATCAAATCGCAAAGCTATAATAAAAAGCTAACTAAAGAGCCTCATTCTCTGGAGACCGTTAGTGTAGGAAAAAGAAAAGAGTAGTGTGTTCTTTCTAATATTCTTAATTCTTCTATTAAGGAACAAAAGTAGGGAAATTAAAGATTTAATAAGAGACAGCATTAAACTCATCTTTGGAATCCGATTTATGTTGTCTTTCATAAAAACTGCTTTCCTTTTTCTGCGAATTGGCGGACAAAGAACAATCTGTGGTCTTTGAGAATGGAGCTAGCTAACATTGAAAAAAAGTATAACAAACTGTTTAAAGGAAGTTGTAACTAAGACTAATGTTTAGTTAGTATGTTCCATTCCAGCCATGTGAGTATGAACTGGTGTCTTTCTCTTTGTAATTTATGTCATGCCAGTTGTTAAACATTTTTAATATCATCCTTGGCTGTAATCAGGGGTATGTGAAATCAGTTTGGCTTCATATGAAGGTCAGAAGGGAAGAATGACTTTCGATGGGGAGTAGGGTTCAAGGCACATAAATGCAGATAATGAAGTTATTTTATAATGTGAGAAGAATAATAAGGGCAAATAAAATTTTCATGGTTGCCTGTATTTCTGTAAGAAGACATGATAGCTTCCTATGAAAGGAAAATAGCACAGTAGAGAAAACTGTGTTTCTCAAACATTTAGAATTTGTGTATGATGGGTTTTTATGTACACCACTGGTCTTAGATAAACACAACGGAGAAATCCAAAAAATTTTATTATAATGTGAAAGCAGTATTTTAAAATAATTTAAACAGTAGGAAAAAACGATTACTGCTGCAATCTTTTGCCACGTTGATACCTGCCTCACTAAAGTCAGTTAAGTTTTCATTTTTAACTGTTTCTTTCCCTACTCTTTAGTTCTAATAATCCCAGTTTTCAACTATAGGTTGTTGGGAATAGCAGGAAGTATAGGATGATTCTGTTAGATTCCACTTTCGTATTCAGAGGTATGGAAATAAAATTAGTGCAAGAATTCTCACTGAAAACTACATGTAATGTGTGACAAGGCACTGAGTTGACAATGTATGGCACTCAGTGGTGAAGTTGAATGTTTCAGTTTGGAAGATAGCAGTTGGTAAATGTGCCCTGGTGGTTGTTTCACTTCTAGGAAATATGTTATTAGCTCTAATGGGGTAATTGAATGCTACTTTTAAGTATACCTAATAATAAGACATTGGTTTCTTTCTACAACAAGGAAAGAAAATGGCTTGATATTGGAAAAGTCAAACTCTTTTTAAGCCATTTGTATCATGATTTGGTCTTCATATTTTATCCTTAAGAATTTATTTCATCCTCACATCATAGGTTAAGGCTATTTATTATACTGTATGTCATGGAGATCTGCCACTTGAGTAAGCCACAGATAATCATAGAAATTTTTTATTGACCTTATCAGTGTCATGAAAAAAAATGATATCCTTTATTTGAATAATTTTTGTTACCATCTTTCTTCCTGGCAAGATAGAGGAGCAGAGTCTTGTATTTGCTTCTTCTTTCTTGACATAACATACTAAAGATCTGCTCCGGGGCTGCAGTTTGAATTATATTCACAATTTTCCATGCAGCTTTTAACACTAACTCAAGAATAGAGGGCTTATTGTCAGATGCCAGCTGTTGTTTGTAAATGAAGCCATGTGAGAATTGGCTTTCAGGTGCCATACTCTTGCTACATACGAGGCTGGCGCTGTTGGCCATACTTATCCCAGGATACGTTTTCAACTCAAGGTTTAAAAATAAGTGTTGGTTAAAAGAAAATCTCTACAGCATGTTTTCATTGGTAATCAGAATTTAAAGTTGCCTGTATTTCTTGATTTATATATCATATTATGTATATGCCATGAGTTGATGCATACTCTGAACACTAGTGGTTTCATGCAGCCGTAAAACAAAATATTTAAGAGCGTACATCTATGATAGTAATTGTTCTTCCTCACCGTGTACCACACATGTTATATAATCTCCAGTAGTGTCATCGGATGATAGAATTTTGCCAGTAGATTGTTTTGTTTCTCTGTGAGCATATTTGTCATTAATTTGGAAGCTGACTATAGTTATACCTGTTTTTGTTGAAATAGGTTCCCCTGACTGCAGTTTTTAATCTTTGCTTTCAATCACGAAATTCATAATGCAGGCTTTGATTGGTTTACTAGAGTGGTTGGAAATTATATGAATGCTTCAGTGGCTTCTTGTGCCTGTTTTACAGTGTTTCAGTTCCTGTTTAATAATGTATTAAATTGGGTCGTCGGGAAAGTCATGACGTATTTTTCTATGTTTTTCGATGCAAAAATGCATCATGACTTTCCCGACAACCCAATAGTACAGTGGGAACAAGGAGGTATCCCAGTGCAAAGTTATCCCTCCTAATTTCCTAGTCACAGCCCATTCTACTTAGATCATACTATTTACCATTTGTGGCATTCTGAGTTAAGTGTGTTTTACTTTAACTCTTCAATGAGTATTTTTGAGGCATTGATTCAGAATTTAGCACATTAAGATAGTAAGAATAACAAAATTTGTATTTAACCAACGTAAACAACTCACATGATGTGAAAGTTTATTAGCTGAAACCAACAGTCCCTCTTAACTATCCTTGTAGAACATGTGTGGCCCTTGGGACATAACAATTAAGAACCTAAAAGAATTTCCTTGTAAGTCATAATCTTATTTTTCAAGTTTGTGAAATGTTTGTGATCAAAACTTTTATCCCTTTTTAAATCAGCTTGTCTCTAGAACAATTAATAGATTAACAGGGACCTTCACTTGTCCCCAAACGACACTTAAACACTGGCTAGAAGAAGGAATATGAGAAGAAATACAGAGAGAAAGAGGTGATGGTTAGAATTCTATGGAATGATCTCTGTGTAACAGGTATTTTTTTAAAAAATAGTTTTTGTGTGGATTTTGCCTCAGTTTGGCTGGCTACCTGGCCAATTTTGCGTCTTTTCTGGTACTTAGTGGTGGCCAGAATGGAGGGATGGTGGCAAATGTGTGTTCTTAATTGTTGATAGGGAGTATATTGTGCTCAGTGATGAAAAACTTGGAGGACTCATTAGACTCATTCCTCTCACTATTTGACGCCTGTGTTAGGGTTTGCTTTCTTCTAGTTTGGCCAGTTGTATGTATGCAGCTACGTACTTAAAAACTACTGAAGACCAGCAACATTGGAATCCTCTAAGAGCTGTTGGCATGTAGAACCTTAGCTCCTCCCCCACTCACCCCCAGTTTTCAAAATCTGCATTTTTGTGAGATCATCAGATAATTTATGTGCACATTAAATATAAGAAGCATTGCTTTAAAACATGAAGGCAGTACCAGCTGGAAAAAGTGTCTTCCATTAAACATAAAGCATTTCCATGATGTTTATGACCAGGTAGTAACTTTTTTTTTTTAGCTAAACAGAAGACTTCAGAAGAGAGATCTTAGGGCAGAGTTCTTGATTCCCAAGGGGAGCAGGGACTGATTCACATTAGATTCCTTTCTTTCCTTTCTTTTTGTAATCTTCTTTCATTAAATTTATTCCTAAATATTTTATTTTTTTCAATGCTATTTTAAATGGAATTGTTTTTTAATTGCATTTTCAGATTGTGAATTGTGAGTGTGTAGAATACAATTGATCTTTGTGTTTTGATCTCGTATCCTGCAACCATGCTGAACTCGTTTAATAGTTCTGATAGTTTTTTAGTGGATGCTTAGGATTTTCTATCTATACCATCATGTCATTTGTAAACAAAGATAGTTTTACTTCTTTTCCAACCTAGATGCTTTTATTGCCCTGTACAATCTACAGTACAGTGTTAAATGGAAGTGTTAAGAACAGACATCCTTGTCTTCTTTTTTGATCTTAAGGGAAAAACAGTCTTTCACCATTAGATATGTTATCTCTGGGTTTTAAAATAGATGTTTATCAGGTTGGGGATGTTCCTTTGTCTTTGAGTGTTATTACCATGAAAGGGGGTTGGATTTTGTCAAGTGCTTTTTCTGCATCTGTTGAGATGATCATGTCCTTTATTCTATGAATAAGGTATATTCCATCAATTGGTTTTCATATGTTAAACCAACTTTCAATTCCTGAGATAAATCCCAACCTGGTCTTGGTATGTAACCCATTTTAGATGTTGCTGGATTTGGTTTGCTAGTTTGTTGAAGATTTTTCTGTGTGTAGTTTTCTTGTGATATCTTTTACTGGTTTTGGTATTGGAGTAATACTATTTAATACTCATAGAACCAGTTGGGAAGTGATCCCTCCTATAGTTTTTGGGAAGAGTTTGTGAAATTGGTTTTAATTCTATAAACGTTTGGTGACAGTGAAGCTGTCTGGTTCTGGGCTTCTCTTTATAGGAAGTTTTTTGATTACTAGTTTAATCTTTTTACTTGTTATAGGTCTATTCAGATTATCCATCTTTTCTTCAGTTTTGGTAGTTTTTGTCTTTCTAGGAATTTGTCCATTTCATTAGATTATCTAATTTGTTGGCATATATAATTGTTCATAGTATTCCTTAATAAACCTTTTTATTTCTGTAAGGGTGGTATTAATGTTCGCTCTTTGATTCATGATTTTAGTAATTTGAATCTCCTCTTTTTTTCTTGCTCAGTCTAGCTAAAGGTTTGTCAATTTTATTGATCTTTTCAAAGACCCAACTTTTGGTTTCATTGATTTTTCTCAATTTTATCATTTCCTGTTTCATTTATTTCCACTCTAGTTTTT